AAAAATTGATGGATATTGGTTGGGAATTGATGTTACACCCACCATATAGTCCTGATCTCGCGCCATCGGATTACCACTTATTTCGATCCCTGGACAACTCCCTTCGTGGCAAAACTTTTAATGATGATGATGCTGTAAAATCTCATTTAACTCAGTTTTTGGCCGAAAAGGATCAGACTTTCTACGAGCATGGAATTTTCAAGTTGTCAGAGAGATAGCAAAAGGTCATCGAACAAAATGGAAGATACATTACAGATTAAACTTCATTCCAAGTAAAAAAAATTTTCTATTTCATTGAACAAATCAGCGATTACTTAGTTGCCAACCCAGTAGCTGTGAATTATAGACTTATTCGTCCAATAATTTTGATAAGTTGACAATTTATATTTAAATAAATTCATAAGATCTAAAAGAGATTTACAATACGATATCTCACGACAAGAATACTTTTATTACAATCATCTATGCTTACAAAATGCAATCAGAATAAGTACTCCAATGTTTATGATAATAAACATCAGAAAAACGGAGAAAGTGTACTTAAAAAGGAAGATTTTAGAAACCACTCCATTCAATAAATATGTTCAACAATGCAATTTCATGGAGTACGTATCGCCAAACAAAACTAAATACAGTTATTTCTCCCTAATTTGTGCTCAGATTGCGTATAAAAATAGACAATTTGAGAAGAGGAGATACGATTATTCGAGCTTTGTATCTCATTTTTATAATCGTCGACAGTTGATGACTATAAAATAAATCGGTATCTCCTCTTCCAAAATTGTCCATTTTTGTGCGTAATCTGTGCGCGAATTAGAGAGAAATTACTGTAACTTCCACTCGAACAATTTCGGGGAACTAATTACAGAGAACGATTGTTCGATCGGACACCATCATTTTCGATCAAACGCGCTCACGAAGTGAAAGCAATGGACGAATAGAGACGAAGCAAGACTAATTGTAGTCGCGTTCCAGTGAGTACTAATAAACAGCGAAATCTTTATATCTGAATTATCGCTGTTATCGTCGACTACCCCAAAGGGGTTGGTATCGACCTCCTTCTCTCAGAGCAAATTTCCGGGAAAGATTGCGCGAAAAAACACGAAAGAGGAGGTCGAAGCTTGTCACGGGGTGTAGACTGAGAAATAGAAAGTCCCCAAGGATGATCGTGTCCTAGTCAAGCGCATTGTAAACGAGGCCCAGGGAAAATAGGCGACCCACTGCGCTGTAACGGTACCAGGAAACTGGAAACTCTTTCGCAAATAATCTTACGAACCTAAGAAAAGAGGGTCCCCGTCGGCGGAATATCAAATGTGACGGACGCTTGACATCTGCAAGCCGACCATCGAAGGCAGGCCTTTCTCGTTCGAGCGTGTATAAGCTTATTAAGTAACATTGTTGCGGCTCTCTGTCCACCCACCCTTCCACGAAATGACCGCAGCCCGTGAGGTCGGACGAAAATTTACGTTCATGTCGTAAAAGGAACATTTTCAATAGTATTGTTCGTCATAAAATGTTGTAAATATCTTTACTGTTATAAATGTCTTTAGTTTCGACGACTGCAAAAACTGCATAACACAACGTTTATGTATTTATAACGTTTAAAGACGAGTGTATGAAGACGGTATGGACGTTTTCCATATTTTGCTGAACTATCCTTCGTCTAAGGGATTGCAACGTTGCCAACAACTATTTCAATGTCGAAGGTCTTACGACTGAAAATAGTTTTGAATAAAGCTTGCAATATAAATGCTACTGAAAAGATTATATAGAGGTAAAGAGAATATGGATGTTTCTCATAAAATTTTTGTAATGACCGAAGTCAGAAAGACCTTGAAAAAATCTCCTGTATTATTGTTACTTTTAATCAGTTACTTTTATCAGAATACGAAATCGTTGTTTTAATGTAGCATTATTATAATAGCACGTATCCTAAACCTCAATAACTATTCCAATTTTACTAGAGACAGTGAGACAGAAATTATGCTTTTTATAAATAGAGAAATCGCGAAATGTTCATAATGAGATAAAATTGTCGAATATAATCTCTTAGAAGCTAAAAATTAGAAATGAAACCAAGGAATGCAGATGAACAACCATTAAATAAATTTTCATAGTCCTTTATCTGCTTGTGAAAAATAATTTCCTTTATCAAGTGAAACGTTCTATCTATTTCGGCATCGATAAAATGTTATTCGATTTTCCTCGTACAAGCTGACGAACGACCGTTCACGATTGTTTAATGAAAATCGAATGAATCGACGTTCCTGGACGGACATTCGCTGGCAAAGGGAAATTCGTGGCACGAAATGAACGTGTCGCCGCCTGCGCGTATTTTAAGTGAAATGTCGAGGATGACATGGCAATTTCGCGACGGGTTTATACGTGTTCAAAACGGGGGTCTCTTAGTCGAGACTGTTCCATTGTTGTTCATTTCGAGATCTGGCTGACCATCGTGCGTCAATACGACAGATGTCCGAGTCTGCCACTGCTAATCCATCCTAACTCGGACTTAACTGAGGCAAGAGACCAGCAGAACCTATTACGCACGGAAGGCAACCCCTTTTTCCGGAGATAAATGCGCAAGATTACATTGCACAAATTTTCAACGCCGCGCGGATACGCTTTTGTTGCATTCACGTAGCCACAATTCTGCAGGTAAAACCTGCGTCTTATCTTCGGGGGTTGCGTTCGGCAGAGGGTCTTGCAAGTGTTGCATAATTAAGCCGCAATTACGCTGCTCGAACAATCATGCTATCAGGGTGAGATATAAACGGTGTAACAGTCGGAAAGCTAAATTAGTGTACAAGGTTCTGCATAAAAAATATAAAAGATTTTATGTATTGTCAGAAATGATCCGGCACCGCTGGCGAACTGTTAATGATCCAGGTGTAAGAATATTGGGCTATTTTTGCTGTCAAATAAATTCGAACTCTACACTTGTAGGTATTTATTATATATATTATTATATTATATATATTATTATATATATTATATAATAATATTATATGATATATAATATATAATATATAATAATGATATATAATATATTATTATATTATCCCTTGAAAATGATTATCTGTCGCAGTTTAAAAGGAAATGGTAAAACACGAGAACATGAAAAGAGCGAAGAAAGCAATTTTTATCGCGGACATTCCATAATAAAAATTCGAGAAAGATATGCTGTTGAAAATAATTATCGTTTGTAGAAAAATGTCAAGATTCGAATGAAACTGCAAATTGGTTAGGAGAGAAGAGATTGGAAAGAATTAATAATCTTTTGATGAAAAAGGAGAAATTGTGAATGCTTCGATCATTACAATTTTCATTTGAGACTGTCTAAATTCATCGACGATCAATATTTCAACTCAAATTGAGAAGCTAATGGCACACTTTCCGAAAATTATTATTTTCTGTGATGTGTAAAAGTGTGGGAACGCAAAAATTTACAAAGAAGAGGCTGGAAACACGGATTATGAATATTCTTAACAAAAGGGACGAGTCTACAGAAGCTTCGAAAATTTTCATTTTGTTAAAGTAACATGCTATGTCCGAAATAGTTAAATAAATGAATACTGGAAGGCAAATCGATGGTCCAACAGCGGTGTTGTCCGAGGAAACGGTTTCCATGGGGTTGGCGAGAAACGAGAAAAGGGGGATAACAGTCTTACCATGGGCTGTACCCATCACAGATCGTTTCTGACAACTGGTCAACCGCAAATGGACACGTCACCCCCTTCGATTCCCAGCGATTTTCGAGCATTGACCACGAAAAAGCCCGTTCACCCCATTGGTGTTCTTTCTTGCGGAGTGGCCGGATCCCTTTTTGCATTTTGAAAGATCTTTTGGTCGCGCCGGGATCAAAGAGGTAAGAATGCTGCGTGCGCTTTTGCGTGCCACGCGCATTTTCGCGAAGAAGAATACCGGCTTCGGCCGTGGACCCTTTTTAGGCCGATGGCCACCCCTTTTGCCGCATTTGCTCGGCAGAGATACGGATCTGTCGAAAAGGCTTACGGAAACTTGAGATGTCACTCGAATTTCTGACCATTGTCCCGTCTTGTTGCACTTATGGGAAACGCAAACAACCCTTGGACGAATTTCGCACGATTCCACGCAAACGGACCACCGAGACTCGTTACGTTGCTTGAATCTGGGTTCGATATTTTTTGATGAATTTTTTACTATATTTTCGGATGTGTTAATTGAGAGTGTTGAAGCTCAGCGTCGCACAGTAGTCCCAATCGATCAATTAGCCGTTCACGACGATTTTAGCAATGTTTCAAAACCTAAAGATAATTTTATATAGATCGTTGAATTAGTCGAATTCAGCTACATCATTATTAAATAAAAGAGATATAATAACAATTAAAAAATCAAGGTGACTTTAATTTTTAAAAAATTTTTGTTTCATTTTTTCTATTGGTGTTTATAAAACACTGAGTACTAATTGATTTTTGTTGGAAACATTTTTTTGTCAAAGTATCGGAAATGACTGAAAAATTGCGATAACATGTGAATAATAAATGATATTTGTAAATTTTTATTTTACCAATAGTTCATTTCTCGCACTTAAGAATGCTGTTGTCTATAAAAACTATTGCTTATTATTTGTTTGAACATTAATATTCAACTGACTAAGAAGAAGTGTCAATGTTTTATATAATTAGCAATTAATATCTTTTGACTCTCAACACATCGTGCTTTCTTTCAAAGTGGAATGATTTCTATATACTTTTACCTGTATATTCATACCAGCGTCACTTCCCCTAATGTCCATCCATGAAAATAATTATTGATTACAGTGGCTCTGTGATCGGAACTACACGAAGCGTCAAGAGGTTATTGTTGTTGTTTCTGTCTCTTGATGCTCCGCACAATTCTTTACAATAATAATTTTCATGGATCAGTAGACTGCGGATTTTACGTATCTATAGCAGAATTTCATTCTATTAACATTATTAGAAGAAGAAATACATTTTTATCTTAACTTCTCTTTTATACATTAAATTGAAATTGAAACAGTACTAATCTGAAAAATTTGTTTCAGACATAAAATTCATTTTAGACTATCTTTATGCAATGATCTGACAGAAAGTAATCGTTAAAAGATCGATCGTTCTGTGAATTGTCTTTCTTTTAATATTAATATACGCTAATAGTACAATTACCTTGAAATAAGTTTCCAATGCAAGACTTCGCAGCATTTAACAAACTTCCAGCTAAAGAAGGCAAATATTCATGCTTAGTTATCACAACGAGTATATTTTTTTTTCTCTATAAATTGTATATTAAAATAATAAATACCTTGAATATTAGGGTTTGTATACAGTGATAATAATTGTGGTCTATTGTCTGCAACAAATCATGACATCATTTATAAGTTACTTACATCAAGTTAGATATAATGATATAATGTAAAAATATAGATATAATGATAATAGTAAAAGACAAAAAATACAGACATTCTTTTACTACAGATGGAGAGGTTAGCTTATAGGTTATGAAACTAAATGTATACAATTATAATGACAAAAGGAACGTACTTTTAATAGAATTTCTAAAGAATGATTGAGTTATGTTAACTACACTTCTAGCTAAAACGTTCATGACTGCCACTATCAAATTATGTCATTACATTTAATAACTATTAAGAAATACAGAAATCAAGTGTTGATACAACTAGCGACACTCCACGTTTGCGTCATTCTTGTGAAACATGTTCTCAGTCATCAAATCTCGACAGATAACACTGTCCGACAAAATCAAACTTTTTTTCTGGGTTCCTATAGCCACTATGAAATTCTTGTAGAGCTTCGCTCCCTGAACAAGAATCCGAAAGCCGAATTGCTCCATCACCCTCAGTTTTTTAAATAAACGAACTTTTGTAAAAACCCAAAATTTTCGACAAAAATGAGGTATTGCATGAAAAGTAGAAACGTTAGAAAGTTCTAATTGGTGTTAAAAGATAGAGAAGAGTTTCCCGAATATAGTGGCATGCTATTTATTAATTGTTTCTGGTCCTAAATAGCAATAAATTGATGTCAAAGTTTAAAAAAGTGTCGACGTGAGCTTTTTCTGCGCAATATTTTTGTATTTTTACGAAAAGTTTTTTGTTCGGCACGAACAATTACAACATTATATCTTACAATTACAACAACATTATATCTTATTGATATAATGATGTCGTGATATTTTTAAAAATGTAACTGTTTCTGCAAGGCGAAGTGAAAGGGCCTAGTCAATTAAGATGGTCAAAATTGCCCTTAGAGGTTTTTTTTAATGATAACTGATAACTGACCAAGAAAAACCTATCTGTGCAAAATTTCAATCCTGTAACTGGCCCGTGAGGGCATTTCCCCCCTTCGGTAACTTTTTAAGATTTTGAAAAAATGTGGCTTATTTCGGACATCAGGCCGCATATTATAGAATTTTTTCAGATTTTTCGGTTGCAAGCTGTGGTTATCAAAAATGGAGAACCAAAAAAAAGTCGGAAAATTAAAGATATCTCGAATCGATGTTTATCGAAGTCAGTGGTAGGTGCAAAGGCGAGTGTCATTCTGAGAATAAAACTTTCGATAGTTGCTCTGTAGTTTCGTATATGCGAGACCGTAAGGCCCCTTCCTCTCCCTAATTGCCTATTTCTTGCCTAATTGCATGCAGAGTCTCAAGGCTCGAATAATTCTAGGGCCACTGTCAGGTAACAACTACCATAAAAGTTAGTGGTTTCGGACAGTGAAAGTAACCATTGGATCCCTCCATCGGTGTTGATTACCCATAGCTTCGGCCCTGTCGGACAGAGAGAAGCGAGCAGCGAAGCACATGGCGGCAAAACATCGTGTACATGTTGCTGACGAACATTTTCTCGACCTACTCAAAATGTACATCGTTCTGACGCTTCTATCAGACCGCTTCTTCTTCAGAAATGTCTACAGAATCCGATCCTGGGTAGAGTTTTCGTGCCGAACAAAAAACTTTTCGTAAAAATACAAAAATATTACGGAGAAACTGCACATGTCGACACTTTTTTAAACTTCGACATCAATTTATTGCTATTTGGGATCAGAAACAATTAATAAATAGCATGCCACTATATTCGGGAAACTCTCCTCTATCTTTTAACACCAATTAGAACTTTCTAACGGTTCTACTTTTCATGCAATACCTCATTTTTGTCGAAAATTTTGGGTTTTTACAAAAGTTCGTTTATTTAAAAAACTGAGGGTGATGGAGCAATTCGGTTTTCGGATTCTTGTTCAGGGAGTGAAGCTCTACAAGAATTTCATAGTGGCTACAGGAAATTTATCCGCTGTTCATAACATGCGCGACGTGGTTCCAAAATGTTTAATTCTAAAATGTAAAATATGATAAAATGTTTAAAATATAAACTAAGATGAACGAAAGATAAAGTTAAAGATTTAGAGACAGGGAAATTTCACACACACACACACACACAAATAAATTAATTCGCTTTATCAGACATCATAGAGTACTTTTATTCCTCGCAATGTACAATTATTTTCATTCCAGGTACTTACATACACTGCGACCAGGTAGGCGGGTGTCTATGTGAGAGTAAAACCCTCGACAGTTTCTCAATAAGGACCCACCAGGACGCACCAGACCCTTTATCCTGCCCGCGTCTTGCCTAGCTGTGCCGAATCTCGTGACTAGAGTAGTATTAGGACTACTGTCAGGTAGTTACTTTCACAGTCCGAAACCACTAACTTTTATGGTAGTTGTTACCTGACAGTGGTCCTAATATTATTCGAGCCTCGAGACTCTGCATACAATTAGGCAAGAAATAAGCAATTAGGGAGGGGAAGGGGTCTTACGGTCTCGCATATACGAAACTATAGATCAACTGTCGAAAGTTTTATTCTCAGAATGATACTCGCCTTTGCACCTACCACTGACTTCGATAAACATCGATTCGAGATATCTTTAATTTTCCGACTTTTTTTTGGTTCTCCATTTTTGATAACCACAGCTTGCAACCGAAAAATCTGAAAAAATTCTATAATATGCGGCCTGGTGTCCGAAATAAGCCACATTTTTTCAAAATCTTAAAAAGTTACCGAAGGGGGGAAATGCCCTCACGGACCAGTTACAGGATTGAAATTTTGCACAGATAGGTTTTTCTTGGTCAGTTATCAGTTATCATTAAGAAAACCTCTAAGGGCAATTTTGACCATCTTAATCGACTAGGCCCTTTCACTTCGCCTTGCAGAAACAGTTACATTTTTTTAAATATCACGACATCATTATATCAATAAGAAATAACGTTTTTATAACTGATCTTCACTATTCTTAGAAATTACTTTATCTGATTCATCGAATTCATCTTCTGCGATACAGCAAATAAGTTCTAATCAAATCTTTCTGAATAACCAGTACGAGGGGAGAAAGAAATCAACAGAAAGCTAATGAAAAAGTATTAAAATTTATTATACATCTGAATCATTAGTATTATAATGTACATATTCGACTGGTATTTTATAAAATTATAGTAGAACTCAAAGGTGCACCAGTGCCTATCAGCATCCATAAATACTGCTCTTTTTACCATCCATGCCCGCCACTGGAGTAACCGCCAGAGTGGCCTCCGCCGTATCCACCAGAGAGTCCTCCACCATATCCACCCGACAGTCCTCCGCCATATCCACTAGACAGTCCTCCGCCATATCCACTAGAGATTCCGACACCATGTCCACCAGACAATCCACCGCCATATCCGCCAGAGATTCCTCGAGAACTACCACCACCGTATCCACCAGAAATACCTGACCACAACACGATAATAATTAATAATCTGACAGAGAGTTAATTAAACAAGTTCAACGATATTTCTATGTTTCTTTAACACTTTGATTGCCATGCGACCAACCTGCAAAATTTCATGAAATTAAAGTATTTTATTTAATCTAAGTAAAGTATAAAGTTGACTTGTATAACAGCAATAACATTTTCATCATTTTTAGTAATTTTAGGAAGATATAATGGATTTACGAGAAAATTAGTTTTCAAATCTGAGCGAATAATTCCGTCACTCACATACGAATGAAACTGTTAAATATTAGATCTATATCGGAAGGTTCTGTCCGTTTGTGAAGTGAAAGAAAATAATAAATTTTATATTTGTATTTAAATACCATTTTTGAGAGATATATGTCTATACGTATCGAAAATTGAGATGACATTATCGAATAGAACTTTCCGGCAGATCAAATGCAACAGTACTTAAAAATCCCCAAAGTTACAGTAATAGTAACCGCATTGGAAGTATCGCATAAAGGAAGTAGAATGAACAGGTATTACGATTCCAAGGACCTTTTAGCAAACCACAAATGTTTCAAGTCCACTTTGAACTAACCACGAGCCGCTAAACATAGCCGCGTATTATGCAATTTTCGAGGCAGTGGCAGTTGCCCTGCATCGTAAAAATGAGCCCAGTGCGTTGACATTATGAAATCGCTGTGCAATATCGCAAAGAAGGAAGAGCAGAATTCGAAGGAGCTCTGGCGAGTCTAATAAAACAGGATGTATCACGGTGGACGTTAAGTATAACGTGATGATATTTGAATAAAATGTCGTTTCACCTCCTCCGAAACCGCCGCCAGATCCGTGTCCTCCGAGAAGGATGCCTCTTTTCTCAAGGTGCTTTTCTTCTTGGCCATAGATGGGGCACGCCAGGGCGATGATAGCGAGAGTAATCTGTAAGGAAATGACATGATACCGTACACAATGTTCATTATTAATTTATACATTTTAGCGTACTCAATTTTCTGAGCTACAAGGAAAACGTTCGTATCAATTATAATCGATATCTTTGTTTTGTTTTTACTGCAAGAATACTATTTGTTAATGAAAGAAATATTTTCCTTATTTTAGCTTTTGACGAATGGCAATTTGTGGAGAAGTTTGCGATGTGATCAGAGAAATTCAAATCTGCTACAGTAACGCGATATGAACACATTGATTTTTGCTGATGATCGCGATGATATGGAACACTTCTCTGTCTGAGTGTTTTAAGCTTACGAGAAATAATAATCATGCACTTACGACAAGAATGGCTGGGGGAAACAGAAGAATGAATTAAAAATATCGTTGTACCAATTACAACCTATTACACCTTCTCAGGTGAGAAGTAAATTTCTGTTTTACTGTAATTTGGCACATTTGGGCTAGGCAATTGTTATTTTGCTCACAGATCGGCTAAGAACAATTGCGATAATAGAATACATTATGCGAGGAAATTAGAAACTTGAGAGCAAGTGATAATTTTCGATACAAAATAAATTAACACTTGGCTTAAATTAAGTAATTAAGCTACTGACTGCTAGAAGTAGAACTTCCAATTATTTTACATCACCTACTACTTCGTAGTAAATAATCTTCGTCACTTTCACAAATACAATTATACAATTGCATGCTCTCGAAACGTCGTACTTTTGATTTGCCGGCAAAGTGAATCGATTTTGCGATTTTTGTATTAAAACGTTCTTTGAAATCGCAGTGCGAATTCAGCCGAGTCGAGTCACTTACGAAGGTTCTCATGATGACAGCGTTGTGCTTCACGATCCTAACTGTTGCAAAAACCACGGGATACACCCGCTTTTATAGTGGCCCGGTCATTTCCTGGGACACCGCATCCCGGTAAGCCTAGTTTCGCATTTATTCGCATGTATTCGCGTCACACAATTGCACGCCACGTGCTGCCCGACACGCCTTTCTAACGCCAGCCGCACACTGCTCCTGTGTCGCGAACACTTTTTACTTTTGTATTTCCCTGTGAGATCAGGCGAAGATATCGGATACGGCGGGCTCGTCAAGTCAGTTGGAAAGAAATAGGTCAATTGTGAAGATTAGCGATAGATAGAAGAACAAAATCGCCATTCACGCGCAAGCAAACAACGTTTTCGGTGTTCTCCACAGATTGGAAAGCGATTACGCCGGCAGGAGTAACAAAATTTTACGGAAATCGGAACAATCGGTCGATCTAAACGAATCGGGCAGGAGTCCCTTTCGGTTTTCGGTGTCCAATTAAAGAAGTGCTGCAATGATTTCACACTGCTGGCCGACGCCAATTTTCCATTTCGATTTCATACATTGCCAATCGGGAACACGAAATTCTTCGAACTTCTACTGTCAGCTTCCTAAAAGACAAACATATGTCGCGTGGAGTAATTAAATTTTCCCTCACACATTTTCAGTTTTTAAAATAGAAAAATCCTACTCTTTAACACTAAATCTATCAAACCGATCGAATTTCACTAATTTCACGTTTTTCGTTTTAACGCTAGATTTACGCGACGCTGAGACTAGTTGTTATATTGCTGCATAAAAATAACAATCATATTTGTTCGGATTTAGCGATTTTAATAATGTATGTCCAATGAAACAGATTCATTTAATTAATATATCATAAATGTAAATTAAAAGATTTGTTACAGATCATTTTGATGGAAATGATGATTGAATAAATATTTTAATCGCTGCACTAATTGCAACAAAAATAACGAAAGGTCTGAATAAATACAGTCTTTCCATCGTTATAATGCAACGGACGTTAATTACTTTCAGGGTCTGGTAACATCGTTTAAACATATTTAACGCAATGTTGCTAAAAGATACACAACTGTATTGCAGACAAAATCGTCCGAATATTGTAACTTCCGCTTTAAAATTAAGAAGCTTAAGTTGATGAAGACGAACGATTTCGTTGTGCAATTCTGTGTCGAACTTAGCGAACACGTAGTTTCATAGTCGGCTGACCTGTATTAGATTCGTGGTTAATTGCAGACAAGACAGAGTATCGGATGTATCGAGGGCGGATGAGTCCTGTGATTTTAATGTGACCTTAATGCGGAAACAATTTTTCCGTGTTGCTCGTTGGCAAACTGGAATCAGCCTTACAAAGGAGTCCGAGGAGTATCTCTTGTGCAGCATTCGCATCTCGAATTTCATCCATAGCGAGACTTTCACTGGTACCGACCGCCAAGGGGACGGTTTTCGATTGCATCGTTACGTAAAAAGACGAATTTCCATTTTTCCATTATGCTCGCACACTTCCCCCATGCGCTGGCCTACTCCTTGATTTATCGGATTTCGCCGATCAAATCTACAACCAACTGAAACTGCAACCCTCCGTCTACCATTTCGTATCAGTCCTGCAACGAAGCCGGGGCTGTCAACCCTACCAGTAGCTGGCAAAAATAATGTATAGTGTGTCAACGATTCTATCGCGCGAAACGATAATAAGCTATTTTCCGAGCTCGACCGAGCTTCTCGAAATTCATGCGACAGTTGACAATGTGTCCGCACGCTATTATTAACAATCACGAATTCTTGGACTGTCACCTGTCAATAGAACATGCATAAAGCACGCATACTGTTCCGCGTAGAGTTCAATTTTGACTAGCAATTTTCGATGCAGTTCTTGTCTTACCCTCGGCCAGGATGGAGGAGTTCAAAGAGATATACGGTGAATTGTACAATTTGTTGCGTTTCATCGGATTATGGCCCATCAACGAGCCTACGATTGCTTTCGAAATGATAATTAAGCGAATTGCCATCCCTCTGATTACATTTCTCTGTTTGGTGGAACAGGTGATCAAAAGTGACTCGCTGTTATTCGTAAATGAAACATACGTATCTGAACGGTTTTAATTGTTGTACAATGTTCGGCGAATTGTACATTGTCGCTGCTGATATTTATTCGTGCATCTGTTGCTGTATTTAGACTGCGGTTATTCGTGCGGAATAAAAATTGTCCGTGTTAATTGTAAAACGCAAATGTTATATGGACAACTATTTCCCTTTCTAATCGTTTTGATAAGTTGAACGTAACAACAGTAGCATTTTTGTTTGTCATAAACAACATAAGCCTAGCTGAACTTTTTGCTTTGTCGAACACCTTCAAGAAATTCGTTGCGCTAGAAAGACTAACTCGGATAACTGGATATTCATAAATCGTGCAATAAATTCATGAAAAACATTTTAATTGCGTAATATTATAGACGTATCTAGGTTTAATTACGTAACTGTATAATTGAGTGAATGTTTATTATACTTTTGACAAAAGTGGCGCAATAGGTTTTCGTTTAGCTGCATATGTTCTCTTCTTTGATTCTTTATATTATATATCGATTATTCGAATAACCGAGACTCTATAATACAGAACACATCGATCAAACGGGACTCGGATAATCGAGACTCACAATAGTTAGTTTCTGACAATATTACCGCAATCTTATTACAAGAGCAGGCCCTGTGATTATTAGTAAAAATATTGGCAGTGATCAGTGTCTTCTATTAGATCAGTCGGAAGCTTAACACTTAACAGACGGGTTGTTTTTTCTTTGTCTTTCCCGGTTTCCGGGCATTTTTAAAAAGAATTAAATAAACATGTAAGCGTTGCAGTTTGATTAAATCGACAATATTTTTGATAAAATTTTATATAATCATTTATTTACATATCTCTAATATTAATAAAATATTAATAAAGTATTAACAAAAATTCAAGCAAAAACATAAATCTACGTAGCCTATCATAGGAAGTCAGAATGGAAAAACATGAATCTACGTGGTCCATCCTAAAAAATCAGAATGGAGAAACGTAAATTTACGTGACCCGTTTGTTAAGTATTAAAACAAATTAGTGTGATTATCTTATGAATGGGTACACTCTAATTTACTGGATACGATTTGACTAGAATGTAATCTTTACGTTCGCTTGGAATACAAAAATTTAATTGCTACATCTAACTGGCCCAAGTTGGACAAGATTTTACAATAGTGAATTTTAGAATTTCTATTATGGGTAATGTAGAACAATAACTCGACACCGAACAATAACACGTTCCGTGCCGAGCTTTTTTTACTCGAATCTTCACACTTTGATATTTTACTAAAACTTGATGTATTACGTGCAATTATTAATTCTCGTACACATAACAACGTAACAAAAACTTATCAACGCCCATTCTTGCGGTGGAAATTGATTCTTCGGTTCTAAATTTCTTGTAAACAATTTGTTCAGTTCACTAAGTAAACATGCAAGCGTGTACCATCGATGGTACACGTGGCACGGAACGTGTTAATAAAATCGTATAACTTTCTGCAAATTTTCTTTATTATGTATCTGTATAGAATAAACTAATGGTAATAATCTGATGGCTCCAAGGGTAGTTACCCTTTCTGCGCGAGCTATCGAGTGGCCTCGAAAGGCTCCCGAGATGTCCCGAGACGATGTAACTAGAATCTTGCTCACTTTGAGAAACGTAACATAATTTTTCAGAAACCCTGTGTATAATCGTTTATTAACACGTTCTGTGCCGAGCTTTTTTTACTCGAATCTTCACACTTTGATATTTTACTAAAACTTGATGTATTACGTGCAATTATTAATTCTCGTACACATAACAACGTAACAAAAACTTATCAACGCCCATTCTTGCGGTGGAAATTGATTCTTCGGTTCTAAATTTCTTGTAAACAATTTGTTCAGTTCACTAAGTAAACATGCAAGCGTGTACCATCGATGGTACACGTGGCACGGAACGTGTTAATAAAATCGTATAACTTTCTGCAAATTTTCTTTATTATGTATCTGTATAGAATAAACTAATGGTAATAATCTGATGGCTCCAAGGGTAGTTACCCTTTCTGCGCGAGCTATCGAGTGGCCTCGAAAGGCTCCCGAGATGTCCCGAGACGATGTAACTAGAATCTTGCTCACTTTGAGAAACGTAACATAATTTTTCAGAAACCCTGTGTATAATCGTTTAATAACACGTTCCGTGCCGAGCTTTTTTTACTCGAATCTTCACACTTTGATATTTTACTAAAACTTGATGTATTACGTGCAATTATTAATTCTCGTACACATAACAACGTAACAAAAACTTATCAACGCCCATTCTTGCGGTGGAAATTGATTCTTCGGTTCTAAATTTCTTGTAAACAATTTGTTCAGTTCACTAAGTAAACATGCAAGCGTGTACCATCGATGGTACACGTGGCACGGAACGTGATAAGTCGAAAATCTTGGTTCGTGAAATGAATTGCATGAAATAATATTAGAACGAGATCGAATAATTTTCGTAAAGATTCATCTCTCTATCGTTCACTCTGAAAGCTCAGAGTTTCGCTACAGTTGGAATATGTTTCAGTATTTGACGTTGTTCAGCGTAGAATTCACGTTGGACAAATTAGTATCAACGATGGCGTTCAGTGGTCCGATGCTACTGTTCTTCGTACGATACGTATCTTTCCTATTGGCGATCTCAACAGTAAGTATTACATACGATCGAGTACACTTTGCATAATCGCTGCAGCCGTTAAAAGGCGTGATTGTAATCTTATGAATATTTTCTTTGTATTTCGCGTCAGATTAGATCTCTCTTTACAAGCATGCAAAATGATTTCGAAAAATGGAAAAACACGGTCGAAGTGGAGTTTTTACAACAGTTCATAGACAAAGCGAAACTCTTGTATTATTATTATTTTCGTAAGGACAATTTGATAAATATGTTACCTCGATACCGTGAACGGAAAAATATATGAAGTTTGCAGGACAACATTTCTAAGAATACATTCAAAATAAGCACTTAACAAAATTTCAACTAAGAACGACTGAGTCAGCACT